GATCCGCCGCCGCATTTCATCAGGAAAATCTCACACGGTACATATACCCCCCCCCCCCCACTCTTCCTTGCGGACCGAAGGCCATCAGGATTGGTAGACCACGACGACGTTACAATGATTGATCGACCAACGTATTTGCGGTACTCTAAGTATCTCCCTCCTGCTTCTACCTATAGACCACCTATCATTACTGTTTCATTGATTGACTTGCTTCATCTTCCTCATTTGTGCTTTCTCGCCGCTTAATCATGAGCCCAAAGCTGCTGCAAGCAGAGAATGAGATATTTGAGTAGCCTGTAGGTGTACAGTAGGTATACAGGCCATATACTGTACGTATACAGAGTAGCAAACAGGGCAAGGAAGGCAGGTATATGTATGATACATAAGGGGGTACTTCTCTACCAGGGCTACTAGCTATATGTATACTACGTATCTTACATATACCCTGTATAAATTTTGTGTTTTTCCTGATGTTTGGGAGGTCAGAATTTAAACGGGATATGCCGAAGTTGCTTCTCCCTTCCATAATGGACGACGACACGAAGACGACAGTAAGACGAGCTACACCTGGTTCAGGCAACTGCCAAGGTCATCAGACATTACTATACGCCCCGAGACGGTTTCTGCGCGTACCGCTGCGATCCGTCCGGGTCTAGTACCTTGACAAGCCGAAATGGTTGGCTAGAACAGGGCTAGAAGTACTGTACCGAAGTAGTATATATATCTTTTCACATGGCCTACATTACTTACAAGTTAGTTAAAATCCTACTCTTGTATTGTGAAATGGGATGTATCCCACATATCGCGGTGCGCCAGACACTGTAAGGAGATGGGAGCGTGGAAGTAGCACTACATCATGACTAGTCCCGCCATCTGTACAAAGGCCCGACTATGAGTGCAGGCTTCCAATTCCAGTTATCGGGTAGGGCGGGAAAGGTACTAACAGGTCCCAATTTCAGTTAGCTTCCGCTAACTGACGATCGATACTCCTGTACGGATGAGGCAGTCAACGTCGATCACTTCTTCTTGTCTCCTGCGACTTTGACTGCTCGAGTCTTGTCCTGTAATCGTCTCTCACTCTACAGTCCTTGGACCACCATCCCTCTCAACATTCCACCACTTTGCAGATCCCTAGAGCTTGTAGGCTGAGTCGGATGGTCGACTGTGTCAGGAGACCATCGCCCAAATGAATTATATTGTTTATGCATTGCTTGATGTGAATGGAATAACTACAGCGACTCGATGCTTTTGCCAGGCCTCTACAGATTATCTAATTAGGATCGCGTCTCTTTGATGGCCTCTCGTGCACACCTATCTCTCTTTCGGGCTGACATCTATTGGAATCATGTTCTATTATGGCTTGGGCTTAAAGGGGGCACGGCCGTAACGGTGGCTACTAACTCTTCAGGCTTAGCATGATCGCCCTTCAAATGTGGTTCTAACTACATGGGTTTGATTCCTTCTAGGACTACTACTAGACTGCGCCCACAGTGTGGCGCCAAATGATGGTGGCAGTGTCGTTGTTTGTCTACGCAGTGTGCAACAAATGACTTCACATCCTACTTTGGCGACCTACATCCATCATGCGCGTGCCTTCTTTGACGACGCTGCTTTGTCTTCCCGCGGTCATATTCGGCCAGCAAATACCCATGTTCTCGACGAATATTCCCACCATAGCCGACCTGCTCACCATCGAGCCGTCGGTGTCCATATTCTACTCATACGCCCGCGAGCTGCAGTTGAGCAGCATGTTCTCGACGACGAGCGCGAAATTGACTGTGCTGGTGCCGACGAACAAGGCAGTGATGGCGTTGGCGAGGAAGCCGCACCAGGGCAAGCCTGAAGAAGACCATATTGAGATCTCAGAGCAGGAATTTGATGACATGTCAAGAAAGAATGTTGAGCGCTGGGTAGGATCGCACATTATACAGGTTCGTCTTAATGCATGACAAATTAAACGTGCATTAAAATAATTGGTTAGCGATATCCTTTGGATTTGAGCACGTCCGCTACGTATGATACCCTCATTGCAGGGAAATCGGTTCACTTTGAGTCGCAAGGCGAAGATTGGACGCAGCTTATCTTAGACGATGGCATTCGAATCAAGGAAGTGAAGGAGGTATGTGTCTTATAGACGTGGCGCGCACAGCCCTCAAGTTTGTTTCAGGCTTCAAACGGTGTCATTTATATCCTAGACGGGACGATATCCGTCGACTGATCCTCGGCGTTCCGACCATTGTTGTACACTAGCTATCGATATCCAATGCACATTAATCTCGAAGAAACCGACGGAATATGCAACAAGACGTTAACGATATTCTATCTCGTTTATTACGATGGTAGTCAGGCTTCAACGATTTCAAGTAATATGCTCGTAGTAAGTCTATGCACACTTCCTGGATTGCGGCGATTTGCTTACTATTCTGACCAGATGGCCTTGATTCCATCCTGTGATTTGACCCTTGGGAGCCCCATTTCGTCTGAGAGCCAAGTAGTTTCAGGCGGCATCGCTTTTCATTCTTTAATTCCATTCTCGACAAATGCGCGAAGAGATGTTCGGCCTGTAGGTTTGCGTATCGCACCGGTTCGCAAACGTATTACAAATTGGCGTGCATTGTTTTCTGGTTCGCAGTCTTGGCTTGATGCATGCTTACTACCGCGTCTTCCTAGGCCAAGACTGGAAACAGATCTTTTTCAGCTGAAGTATACATTTGGACTGGCATATGACTCGAGTGAGTATAGTAAGGTCGGTGACATCCAAGTACATTGCTCTCACAGCTTTTCAATTCGTTTCAGGCTTCAGACTTGCTTCGGATTGTGTCAGATTCTCGGTTCAAGATGGGATGATATTCGTCGACAAATATAGATGGGGATGCTATCTCTTGCTCGATTGTGCGCTGATCCTCTCGACATTCAATAACTATTGACGGCGGGGAACGGCAGATTGTACGTGACCACGCGTGGTATGTCACTGAACGATGTTCCACTCATACCTGGCAAAGTGTCAAGTGGGCGAAGTGACACGTTCGTGATGAGTCTTTACAGTTCTTTCGGGAGTGCGGCGGCTTGTGTAAGTTTACGACCAGCGCTTGACACCAACTCGGATCTGACCTCTCCGCTAGTAAACATGGTATCCAAACCGCGGCGCTTTCGGATGTTCAGGGAAAGTAGGGTTCAGATGTTTACGTTTAACCGCTCGAGCCGCCTCAGGCGGTGCACCCAGGCTGGCGCATCACAATAGCGCTTCGAGCAGTGCCTTATTGGATCATCCAGACCCCTGACATCGGAAACAAGCGGCGGCCTTATTTATGCTCAGTCCCCACCTTGGACTTTTCGCGCGGTCTATTCTCTCTTCTCTTTCTGCATTCTCGTCGCGGCGCGACTGTCCTTGGTTTCCGGAGGGTCCGTTGCTACTTAGGCGGGAGCGGTCGTGTTGTTTATTCTTCATTCTTCATATCTCTTCAACCTTTTCTTTTCTTCACGACTTCCTCTTCTCTTCCTATTCTTCATTATGCCTTCTTTCAACAACATTTTCGGGGATTGTGACTCCGACTTTGCGCCGTACCCTTCGTCCGTGTACGGTGCCCTTCCCTACCCGACACCTGCTAGTGATGAAGGCGGATTTGTCACGTTCTACTTGACGTCGTTCAACCCATCGGTGCTTAACTGCACAGTGCTTGGCCCGAAGCAGATAAAGTACTTCTCCATCGTGACGGATCCTACCATGCCTACGTACACGGTGTTGAATGATGTGGAGGGTCACAGTATTGCGCTCGTCGAGTGGCAGAGGTCGCCGGACGTGGAGATGCGAGGCGTTCTGAGCAAGAGAAAGGTCGGGGACTGGCTCAAACTCAACGCCAACAAGACGTGCGCGCTATCTTTTTCTTCCGCCTCGTTAATGCTGATGGTGCGATAGGGCGCGCATCATGGACGTGAAGGGCAAGCGTTTCTTCTGGGTGCCAGAGGACCAGTACATAAACGTGAGGCCTTTCTCTCGGCCTTGTCTTATTGTTCACGACGGCTGAATCCTGTTTTCGCATAGCTTTATTCCTGTGGTTCTGCGCGCACCGTGCTAGCGCGTATCTGTCGAGGCGTGAACACCATCGTCGTTGACATGACGTGTGACGCCATTCGGCAGGGCTTGCTTGACACGATCATTCTTGCCACCCTTCTTCTGCAATCCGGCAAGAACATTGATTGATTGTCGTGTTAACTGTTCTTACTTATTCATTCCTCACAACACTCTCGTTCGTATTTGCTATTCAGATGCTCTGCTCACGCTGTTATTTATGATCTACGTGCACTATTTATCGAGTATTTATTTGAACTGGACTGCTACTTACTAGATTACGAAACACAACGAAATGTACATGTCTTGTTTTACGTTCTGAACGGGTGTGTCGGGCTGATGCCAAATACTGCAATGCGGTGATGATGAGTTTCGCGTTGTTCTGCAGAGTCATCCAGGTTCTGTTCCGTATGCTCAGGGCGTACAGCGGGACTTGTCCGACCATGCACTGAGTCGATGTACTCATTCTACCCACGGGTAGTCAGTTCGATACGCAGTGTCAACGACAAGAATACTGTATTTGGTGAGACAGAACTCTCTCGGAAAGCTGGAATGGATGAGGATAAGTACTTCTAGATCTGCCGACGGCAAGATAGTGGTGGGTAATTTACCTGCACATGACTTTATCATGTGACCCCGCCTCGTCCTTTTGGTGCTCGACGCTCGTCCTATGCAAGCATGTGGTGTCTGAACCCATATATAAATTAAAGCATATTGTCATTCAGCTGCCACTGACAAGTAAAATTCAGTGCAGAAGCACTGTGTAGAGGAAGCTTTCACGCAGATCACATGATTTTGTCATGTGCTAGGTAAAAAACGCGGTAAAAAACAATGGCCTCCGGTACCACCACCGGAGGTTCTTTCCACGACCCTACCCTAAAAATGTCATTTTGTGTATTTCAGTCCTCAAAAATAAATATTGCACAATGAAAGGCACTACCAGGGGTCGAACCTGGGTTATGGGAAGACCGTACTCAGAATCCCATGTGATGCCACTACACTATAGCGCCGGTAAGCTCTTCAGGGCAAAGCAGACTACTACAAAGTATGGCATATGCTTGAACTGGCTAGTCGGGTTCCCGTCAACTCTATTGAGTTCAACTACAACGATGAAACCCTTAATTCATGACGAACGGCGCTGATGGAGGCGTAGAACGTATGGTGTGGCGACAAGCACGACCTTATGGACCAGTGGCAGTGTGCGTGTTAATAACGTTGCTAATGGACACGCTCATTGACACTATTCTGCAGTCTAAGCCAGCCTTGTCGCCCTCTCAATCCAAAGCGACACCCCACTGGGAACGCGACTACTCTTTTAATGGATGCATGCATCAGGTCATCTACTGGGTTATTCCATTTCTCAATCTCGCTTTTTTCAATCGCGTTGTAATGCTCATGTAGCGCCAGGTTACCGAAGATACACCTGCGCCAACAAGTACACCAACTAAAGCAACTTGGCAGGATTGTTCATCTCCCGGGCGCTGGCGTTGAAGGGCACTAAGTGAAGAGGTGTGTATTTCCGTCCACAATACTTTACTTTGCCCATCCAATTCGTGCCAGGTAATCAATGCACACGTGTATGTCATAATGGAATGAAAGGCTTCAGGCGCCCCCCTCATCTAGGACGTGAATTTAGGCTCCTGATACTACACTTCAGAGTCCATGCGGTTCCTGAGTGCTATCAGCTTGATCTTGAAGCCCTTTCTTTTCATTGCGATGATCATGGGAGAGGGTATGCGAATTCAGGTGGGCCATCATTTATATTCTACTGCTTAGAAGGTCACCACCGTACGATATTGACGAATTCTGATCAGGATCTTTTCCAGTACGTTTTCGAACTGTTTGGACACACCTTTTTGCTTCGCAATCTCTCATCTACAGTGCATTCCGTTCGTTGACAGTTTCGGTCAGTGTTCCACGCTACTATTTCAATCGTGTCGCGCGATGTCTCCGATCTTGAACAATTCGTTGCCCTAGCGCAGATACAAAGGGCCCATGCAGAAGAGACAATGCCTTTCCGTGTCGGACGCGGTCAAGAATGTCCTAGGTTACAGACTTTAGGAGCAGACGATACTCCAGACGCACCGTTCGACTATTTATATACAACGCTGACAAGGTTTTCATTAGAATGTAGGGCCTAGTTCCTGGCAGATGGACCCTTGTTGGGGAAGGCTCTGAAAAGTGGAAAACGCTGATCCTCTCTCGCTGCGCAGATAAAAATACTGCTCACGCTCGACAATATACGAATGATGTTTATAACGGCGAACGTTGGCACTGCAATGATCATGATCTGCCCGCTCGCATCCTCCTGAAACAACGCGCTCTCCCCATCAAGGTTCAGGGCGGTGTCAAACACCGCTTGAATCAATTTAACTGCAGGCTTGTCGGGGGTAGCACGTTCTTTTCGGCGTGATCTCTAACGTCGGCGTGTTTAAGCCTTTTAATAAAGTGCGGGTGAGATTTTGCACCAAGATCCCTCCCCTCACACCATACCGCCACTCTCGCGGCGGCTCAGACTTTTCCTCCCTTGGAAGAGCCTCTTCCTACCTTCTATTTTCTTCTCCTCTTCTTGGGGGGCTTTTAATCGAACATGTCTTCGAATGATCAGTTGACGTCCGCTCCTTACCAACAACAACCTGCCCACTCCGGCATGTCCTATGCGCTGGAGAAGAGCCAGAAACGCAATGCGCGTGCCAAGTGGATTGTGCGTGTCCTTCCCCTTGTCTCTTGACATTTCTAACGGCCGACATCGCAGGCCATCGGCAGTATAACGGCCCTCCTCATTCTAATAGCCATCGGTGTCGGTGTGGGCGTCGGTGTCTCGAAGGCGAACAAGAATAACAACAACAATTCCGCGGCTTCCTCTTCCAGCGGCACTGGGTCGAGCGACACTGATTCACCCACCCAGGACGGGCCCGGCGGTACAACACAAACGGACCCTAATGACCCGAGTTCCTTCACGAAGGATTCAAGGCTTCATAAATCATTGTATGGTATCGCGTATACGCCTGTGGGCTCCATCATGCCGGATTGTGGGAGCGAATTGAAGGATATCATCACCGACATACAGGTACGCGCGCGCTTAACTTTTCCGGGATGCTCGGCTAATGGATTTGTCCAGCTCATGTCTCAGCTAACGAACCGTCTCCGTTTGTATGGCTCCGATTGTAATCAGTCCGCGCTTGTCGTATGTCGCTCTTTTCGTGTACGGTTTTGAGTTTTGCGGGCTAATTGTGCTTGGTTTAGTTGGAGGCGATCAAGCAGACGAAGGTTGACATGAAGGTGTACCTCGGCAACTATCCCGATATCTCAGACGACACTGTGTATTCTCGGCAGCGTGACGCTATCAAGGAGGCATTGCAGACGTACGGGCGCGATCACGTTGCGGGCATTACTGTGGGAAATGAGTTCATTCTCAAGTGAGTTTTTTGATCTTGAGCTATTTCGATCTCCGTATTCATTGCATTCTTTTAATCAGCTATGTTACGGACAATGGTGGTGACCCGAACGATGCGACTGGTGACGTTGCGGCAGGAAGCTAGTAACTTACATCGACGACACACGGTCCATGCTCAAAGATCTTGGCATGGATGATATGGAAGTCGGCAACTCTGATGCTGGGTACTACTTCAACGATCTTGTTCTCGAGGCGGTAGACTATGGTGTACGTGATACTATGCTTCTCTCACTCGTCTATATACTGATGCAAGATGCAGTTGGCCAATGTCCACCCATGGTTCGCAGATGTCACCATTGACCAGGCGCCACAATGGACATTCGACTCCTTTGACGAAGAGAATGTCCAGCATGCCGCTACTCTTCCTAACAAGGTTCGTTGTTCTCCTAGCTATCCATCTTCGTCATCAGACTAATGATTGTGGTAGCCCAAATGTACATCGCCGAGACTGGATGGCCATCACAGGCCAACGACACCTTGCACGAGAGCAATGGTGCCTCCGACGCATCAGAGGCGAACTTGCAATCGTTCCTCGACAACTTTGTCTGCAAAGCGAACACTGACAACGTTGGATACTTTTACTTTGAGTTCTTTGACGAGAAGTGGAAGGATGAGATGTACGGTGGCGTTGAGGGTTACTGGGGTCTCTTCCACCAGAAGTACGTCGTCGCCGTTCTGTCTCTCCTCTTCTGTTTGCTAATCTACATCTCACGTTTAGCCGCACATTGAAGAACATTCAAATACCTGATTGTGCTGCACCTTAACTATTGGACTCTTTCTGCTTTTTATGATTTCACGAGCGGACCATTATATTTATACTCTATTCACTTTCTTCGAACTTTACGCGTACTTTGCTATCATTTCTGTATTTCGTAACGAGCTATCTGGGCATCTTGGAATTTCGAGGCATTGATGATAGGATCTGAAAAGAGTTGTGAGAACAAATGGTATGAAAGTGTATGCATTGAGACCAGATCATAAGCAATATTGAAAGAGAAATACAGACATGCACCTGCAATAGATATAGTATTACTAATTAATAGTAGCAGTCAAAGGCAACTTCTTCAACAATCCGTTCCATATGTTCCTGAGAATTTCCCAACAAAGCCTCAATCACCTCATCCGTCGCTTCATTCGGTAGCATCCATTCATGGTACACCTTGCTGCACCCTCTCGAGTACCACCACTTATTATCCTCGCCGTCCGGAAGGTGGTCAATGTAGCTCCCGCACGTCCAGCACACCGGCTTTGACGTTCCGAACGCCTGGTACGCCACATCCACGTCGTGTTTCGTTAGGTAGTGGATCAACTGTAGCTCCGAGTGGTACTTTACGTGCACCTCGCCACCCTCGTCCCACGCGCTCGTGAGGAGCTCGGACTGGAGCAACTCGGCGCGGAGCCGGTTGTCCAGATGCGTGAGGTCGGACCGGCAGCTGTTATCGGACGAGGACGTGCTGCCGTCCGTTGAGTGTCTGGAATGGCGGACCTCGTCGTGGTCTACGAGGAGGATGAGAGGTATACGCTGGGCGGGGGCTTCTGGCCAGCGGTAGATTCGAGTGAATGGCCCTTCGTCGGCTTCGCTGATGAATTTGACGTCGACAACCCCGGTAGTGGGGTCCCCGATGACAGAGCGTATGAAGGGCAGGCCGAGATGCGCGAATTGCATCGCTCCATTCTTGTACGCGGCGATGCGGGATATGCGGCGTAGGAGTTTGTGGAGGAAGATGCCTAGGGAGACGTGAGTTGACGTCCAGTAAAGCAGTCGGTTTATACGCACGATCTTGTATCTTGAGAGAGAGGCGGAAGGAGTGGTAATTAATGAGATCGTAGAAGAATGTGGAATTGGCGAGCAGAGTGCACGCCGTGATGATGGAGGCGAGATAGGTATAGCGCTCTTCGGGGGGCAATTTGGAAGCCTGTCGGGGCGTCTGGCTGGCAAGCGTCACGAAGGACTGGATGAGGTACTCGTTAGCGCGCTTGGCGTCACCACCATAGTTCGCAGCCATGGAGACGAATCCGCGAGATAGTTCACCCTCTGGACGGTATACCAGCCATGAGGAAACCAAAGTCGTGAAGTGATACGCGGTCTGGCCCATTCCTTCGTCCGTCTGCGCGACCAAGACAATCTTCCGTTGGATGCGTTCCTGTCCAATGTCCACGGCCATGCGCAGAAAGGCACGCGTAGCCACCTCTGGAGTGCTGTCCGCGTCGAGCAGCGTCTGCCGCACGGTGGACAAGAATGTGGAGACGGATTCTTTGAGCCTTTCCGTTCTTGGGTTTCCATCGTTATTGGCGATATAGAGTGTTATGCGTCCTGTCTGAGCAGAAAACGCCACGGAGATGGAGTCGCCCTCTGCATTTTCGGACAAGACCGACGCGATCCAATTGAGAACATCAATGATATAGTCGTCCGCCGGCTGGTGATTGATGTGCGGCTGTGAAACATCTTGGAGCTTCTCTATTATCCGTAGACGGAAGAGAAGGTCAAGTTGGGCGGCGGGGCGGGAGAGAGGTAAGAGAGGTGCGGATCCAGAGGCAGTCTGGTCAAGAGGT